TTATGAAAAATAGTTTTTATATTGGTTGTTCACCTTGCGTTTGCTCGAAACTCGTCCGATTTGAATAATAGCTTAAGAAAACCAGTATTTCACTGAAGGTTCTTAGATTAAAATATATAGGATTGTAAAATTATAACTGGTGAAGGTACATCTTAAATTGGAGTAGAGTTAGAAAATAAATCAAATTATGTGTTTCAGTCGATTAATACGGTAGGTAAATATTTGCCGATGCTTTATGTGAAAACTTGGCATCTATGCCTTCAATTTGAGAACCCAATCATGAAAATCGATCGTGCAGAAGAGCCAAACCAACTCGGAAAAGAAAAACAAATGTTGTAATATATAAGATAAACAAATTTATATTTTATTAAAAAACAGATTATAAGTTGTTTTTAATGGAATAAATCTATTGTAATTCAAATGTTCATAGGCCTACTATCAAGAGGAATTGATAGAAATAATGAAGAGGCGACAGTGAAAAAAGGTTTTAACTTTGCTGTCGTTCTGCAATGCTACATATTACTTCTTTTATGCCAAGTTTTTGCATCGGTAACTGCAGAATATGTTGAAATTAGGAAACAAAATGAATTTCAATAAACACCAGCTATTTACCACCAACGGGTTCTTCACCATTGTGTGTTCTGAAAAGTTCTAGACGGGAGTTTGGACAGACATGACTATAGAGCAGGTGCTCATTTGTTTAATGAAAAGCTATGTAGGTTTGAGTCGGGACCATGGTATAACTGACACCGCGTGCTCACCCGATGGACACTAGGACTGATATAATTTATCTGTAGAATATAAGTGCTGAAGTTGAGGAGTAGGCCTACTGCAATGTTAAGGCAAATACAACTGAGTAGCATGTAGAAATGAGACCCTCACGAGTCACTCGAGTTGGAGCGAATACAGAGAAGCTGTATGACTGGTTACTTCGTCACCCTCCATTCCCTAATACTGATGTTATAATGTTCTTAAGCAATGGAATTGTTGGAGGGAAACTGTCAATGGCTAGAGATATTGACAAGGCAGTGATGTTGAGAGTTTTATGAGAAAAATATGAATAAGTCAAATACAAAATTAAGAATAAAGTAGTATCTCTTTCTTCTGAAGTTAATACTGTGACTGATGGCAATAGAAAGGTGACTATTAACCCCCTCGCCCCTCACACTGTTTCACAGGTTATGCGTTCTAAAGCAGTCGGATGAAGAATTAAAGCACTTCTTTACACATTGATTCTCACCATTACCCATGTCTCAATTGAATGAAAAATTAAATTATAGTTCACACGTCCAAACGTCTCAAGTTAGTCATACAAGTCAATCTTCAACTGATACCCTCACAGGACGAGTTCATGTCCAAAGGTACAAGGATCATCTAATCACAGACGCCATCGCCCTCAGTGTTCTCCAACCTGCTCCCGCGACAATAAAAATACAATAAATAGCGTTCTACACAGGCATGTGTTCTATCCACGAGAACCATATTGTAACAATGTACGTGCGTGTTTATGTAGATAGATACGATAGATTTGTTTCCATTTTAACAGTTTTTATTTTATAAAACAATATAATGTTGAAATGAAATAAATTTGTTTATTTGTTATTATGGTTCTTTTATAAAATTTGGCCAAATTGAATAGCTTGAATCTTAAAATACAAACATTTATGGAAGATTTTATGAAACTTGAAGGGTCATATCTCTCAATGTGTTAGGCCTATAATCACCATTTTGGTCTTAAATTGTGAGTAACTTAATGTAGTTTTAAAGTAATTGAGTTTGTTTCAATGAAAAATAATGTGGAAGTTATGCTTTAGGGTTAACGTTAGCCAAACTTTAAAAATTTTCAAAATTTTATAATTTTAGCCGTTGTTTGCTGAGTCATATCTTGAAAACTATTAGGCCTGTAAAAACTATTTTGGTCTTAAACGATAGGTAATTTAATGTACTTTAAAAATGATTATGGTTGTTCTTTATGAAAAAGTGATGCTTCATGGTCAAAATCACACAAACGTAAAAATAGTGCGAAATTCCGCCGATTTTTAAGCTTTTTGGAGGTGATCCGGAAGGTCGCCGAGGTCGAAAATTTGGATTTAGCATCTCGGTACTATTACTAACAACATAAAAAAATGAAACCTACTACCCCATTTCATGCAAGGTAAAATGCGTTAGGTTACTGGATTAAGCCTATAATGACCATTAACTGTGCAGAATAAAAGGTAGTGGTGACATTAATCGCGAGCTGTGATGGCAACAGCAAAGGTTAAAAAAGAATCTGCCCCCTCAGTCAGTACGTGATATTCCACATTAAATCCAAGCCTCAATTTGAATCATACTTTGGATTAAAAATAGGTCCGTACCCACTAGCGCAGTTTGATGAAGAAAGCGTGATGTAGAAGAGTCGAAAATCTAACTATTCATGTAGCCTAAAACTACTCATGCTGTTTACTCCAATCAATGTGGATCTCACTGTGTTCTGACGGGTTACAACGCTTGGCGAAGTTGCAGAAGCAGGTTGGCCCTATACATGGTTGGGAGCAGAAAATATCCAAATCAAGTGAGGGTTGGTCTCTTCTAGAGGACACTTTCAACTAATTTTGACTTTGATTTTAACAAAAGGGGCTGCTCATCCACCAATCCTTTAGAGCTCATTTAAAATTGTAATTTATTCAGAGGGATAGGTATGGAAAATTAACGTCAATGGGTTAACTCCCATCACTACGGCTAATCCACCGGTTCGGCGAGAACTTCTCAACTCCGTCTACCTATCTCGACCATCGTGTACATGTTAAAAAGGTTTACATTTTCTCGCTCCATATGAAATGCAGGGATATAATGCACTACTGTCTGAAAGACTTGCAAGGGGCACGATTATCTTAATTCGATAATCGAAAAAGATGGTACCGAATGTCACCATTTGTGGCAAGACCAATAAGAGCAAAGAATGAATCCTTATTCTTAAGATTCCAATGATGAGAAGTAGAAAAGTTATATGGTAAAATCAACGAAAAATCCCAATAGTTTTTTTTAATAGGCTAAATACATAGTAAAACTATGTACATCCGTCCCCCATTATCATCTTTCGTTTATTAAGCCAAAAAATAACATTTTTGCTATATTTAATAAAATCTTTCTCGTTGTAATATCTTATTATATATTAGAATCGCTTAACATCATTCCGGAGTGTCCAGAGATGGGATCGTATAAATGGGAGCTTAGGACGAATCCTAGAATTTTTGTAACCCCCTCAACAATATTAGATTTAAAATTGCATAGGGGGGTCTTGCTACCCTTCCCTTCACACATTCTTGGATGAACCTCTGGATGATAACCATGAAATAAACCACTATCTAGTCATTCATAATCATAATTCTACGCAAAATTTTATGTTTTCCAAACTAACTAGGTACAGGCGCATTTTTGTATAGCATACGTCGTTTAGGAGTTATAAGTCGAAAACTGGTCAAATAATCAACCTTTTGGCCATGTTGATGAAAATATCCCAACTTTGAACAGCTACAGCGGCTAAACGGCTCTGCCGATTTTGACGTATTTAACATCAATCGACGCGGAATTTAATGCACTAAAAGACACCTTTGAAAAACATTTTCCTTAGGATTCGTTATTTAGAAGTTACAAGCGAAAAACTGAAAAAAGTGCAAAATTTTCATAGTTTTTCGACTCCCAAAACTTAAGCAGACGTCAGAATCCGTCGCAAACTCACAGGAGTCTTATTTGGGACCCCCAAAAGGTATAAAAACACTTTCCAACTTTAGACGATTTTTTGGGGAGCATATGTCTAATTTGCCTGGGCTATAGTTGGTAGTTTGTTAAATAATTTTCTTCCGTTGTAATAAAAATGTTTTTCATCAAACTTTGTTTGGTGGAAAGTAGAAGAAAATATTTGTAATTTTCTCAAATCATAATTCTTCTCACATAAATCATAATTTTTCCAGAATTCCTCAAAATTGTTCTTTAAAAATAGTAATGTTTCATAAATATAAATTGAATTTTCGTTTACGTATAAACCGAGAGATACTATAGATAATTATATGCCGATGCTTGATGGCAAATCTGTGCGTGCATACCTTCAATTTGAGGCCTCAATCATGAAAATCGGTTGGATAGAAGAGCCAAACGTAGTCGGAAAAGAAAAACATTTTTTTTTTAATATATAAGATGCACAATTGAAAAATATAAACTGCATAAATTGTCAAGAGTTTTATCTGAATCAGTGCTGGATTTACCACAAATAAAAGGGCGCAGAAAACAAATAATAAAAAAAATACAAATAAAAAAATAAAACTTATTTTAGAACAAAAATTTTTTTACCATCAGTTTGCCAATTGCAAGTGACGATAATGATGCGATAATGACGATAGTGATTGCGGGCTGTGGGAGATGTTCATGACTTAGCCATGTTCGCGGGTGTCTAAGATGGCTTTGCCTTGATTTAGGGGAGATGTCCACGATTTCGTCAGCAATCGTGGGTGATGATGATGATGTCGCTTTGGGGGGTGGGGACCGCACAAGTAATTTGGCCTAGGGCCGGAAGTACCTTAGATCCGGCACTGATCTGAATAAAAAGGGGGTGGCAAGAGGAACGTGGTCTGGTATCAGCTAAAATTTGAACGGCAATCTTTTGTAAAATAAAAATTATCAGCAATGGGGGAGCTGCCCCATGAGATAATACCATAGAAAGTCCTAGACATAAACTAAGAATGATACACAGTAAGAGCTGCTGGCAAACCTGAAGACCTTAAAACCACCCTCAGACCAAACGATACTTTTGCCAGAGACAAGCTAATTTGTATTTGATGATCAGACCATATTAGATTTTCATACAAGTATACACCCAGGAATTTAGTTATTTACTAAAGTATCCAACAGATAAGTTGAGAGATAACAAATTGTGGTATCAGTTATAATAATTGAGGGTGATTTATTACCTACTCAGAGCCATTTTTTACTCTACAACATAAAATGTTGTATGAGTATTTTGTTCTGAGCATCGTTTTTGTTTTAGACAATATATTACATATATTTTAGGACAAAAAGTGTTTTACAGCATAAGTTAATAATGCTTCAGTACTTTATTGATCCATTGGCATACAAACTAGTAGAATACGGGTATTTGGCAATATTTAAAAGAAGTAACGTTACTAGTGCTGAAGAGCTTGATCTGTTTAAGGCTGCTATTTCTAAAGGTAAATTTTAATTGTCACTTAAATGTTTGGGTATCAATTATGGAGGAATGCAGTGGATGACTGCAGTATTTATGATCTGAACTAGTCGCCAATTCATTAAAAATTTATAGTAATATGACAATTATTCATAACACTACACTACTCCGTTCATAAAATATAGGAGGTTTGAGGGGCCCCATCACTTATTTTTGCTTAATGTATATTTTGCAGATGATTGACGTTTTGGCAAACCTCAGCTGTTGAACCATGGTTTTTAAGGTATATGATTAAGTGGAGGGGGTAGATTTCTTCTCCTAAAACCGACTAAATTTTGTGGACGGAGTATAATGAATTTTTTAATATTACTACCAGAGTTTTTGATTGGTCATTGCCTCATCTGTTTTTCATCAAAAAAAAAAGTTTTGTTTATATGTCTACTACATAGCGCTCTTTAATTAATCTGTCCACTCTCCAGGTGTAGAATGGCAGACTTGTTATTTAAGTGTCAGCATTCTTTGCGATGTGAAATAACACTCACAGATCTAACAAATACTTTGTGACGCACAACAAAAACCCAATTAAATAGCAAAACATTGCTAGCCAGTGGAGCTGAATTACGTTTATATGTCTATTGCTCAATTGCCAATAGCAATAAGCAATAGCTGTATCTACAATCGGCTATAATTGTAATTTGGGTTAATATTCAGATTAGATTGTGAATTGCCTTTTTTATTGTCTGTGTCCTTGAGCTAGAAGTTTGTGTATTTCACAAAAAAACTAGTAAGCTCCATTATTCAATCCAAAGACATAACAACTATTTATTTATTTTTCATCTCCATTCATATTTGGCTTAAAATACCTACTTTGTATGGTCGCCATTTAATAAGAAAGTATAAAAAAACTATAAAAGTACCTACTCCTCATGGGTTGTCCCCTGATGGAAGTCAAAAAATGGTAATGTTTGCAAAAAGTAGTTTTCATACATATAAGATGACGTGAAAGGTTCAAATTTTCTAACGGAGCTTCTATTGTGTACTTCACAACAAAACTAGTAAGCTCCTTTATTCAATACAAAGACATAACAACTGGATTGAACATTTGATTGAAACATTTGATAACATTTGATTGAAATTCATTTAAAATATCTAACATATAATAAATAATTTATGTTATATTGGACACAAACCACAAACCAAAAGGAAAACTAATAAAGTGAAAAAAAGTCAATAAAGTTCACAACAAACCAGACTGTCACAAAAGTGAAACTGTTCATCTGACCTGTCCTGTTGCCAGTAATAAATGTGAAGAATGCAAATGTCAAGGTAAAGGGGATGCATAAACTGAAGGCTGGTCACGGTGGCACCTTGGACAAAATGGCTACGGGCGTTTTGGGTAAATATGATAGCATACTTTACGATATGATTTTTAAGTTGATGGCTAGTTGGCAATAGTGTTTTATTCAATCTACTCTCTCCTACAGATTAGGACAAAATATCAGTATGTGTTTTGTGGAGATTTATTTTGCTTTTCATACAGTAGGTATTACATAGGGATAAGTAAGTACAATAGACAACGCTTTATTGTACACAACACATAACACCTGATACAGTAATTGCCAAAGTATGTCCCAAGTCTAAGTATTCTACATCTAGGTTCCCTAATACTAAACTAAGTTCTACTATTGGCATTTGGATACTGAAGTTCTATCAACAGTCAAAGGTTCTGCTGACAAGGGTTAAGCCTTAAAATGTATCTACCCTATTTAGTAACAAACTTTTTGGCTCAAAGTCTCTTCCAGTTTAGATGCAAAATTGTCTTTTGATAAAGATCTGTATGTGTTAGGTAAATGATTGTATATTTGTAATATTATGCCTTTTACTAATTGTTCACAGTTGTACTGAACAGATTGTAAAATAAAATAAAGTTAAAAAAAAAATATTTGTAATCATATGTAATGAGTTACATTATCAAGTTTTGAAAGAGAACGATTGGGTTAGGCTGTAGAAAATTCTACAAAACAAGGAGTGAACATACTGTCAAGCAGACTTCTGTGGGTGTTACTTAAGTTAAATAGTAGACTTAATGAATACCTTTCTGGCCTAAACATTTTTTAGATGACAATTGTAGTCGGACCAACTCATTTTTAAATTAAAATTTCAACCCAACAAATTAAAAATACTTTACTTCTCCTTTTTCCTCACAGAAGTCTTCCTTTTTTCTCACACAAGTCTGGAGTCCATTGAACACTTGTTTTATGAGTAAACTAGCGGTGTGCCCGTTCTATGGATGGGGATCTTTTAGTTAGTTGAAACCTTATATTTTATTCATGACAGCAGTTTGTTTGTGTTGAAAATGACTGTCTCTAGATGATTATTTATATGTTAATTTAATTCATCAGATGTTTTATTTGTTTACACTTTGCAATTAGTGTTTTCCTTTTGATTGATTGTTAGAAATGGTCTTGAATAGTTATGTCTGATTAAAATTGAAGTTCTTTTTGTACTATGTTTTCTTGAGATTATTTAAAAGGTATACCCCTTTTAGAAGAATCAGTATCGCGTTTTAACATTTGGCGACCGTGACAGGACAGTATGATGAGTGAAACTGATGTTAGGGAATTTAATAAGAACAAGAAACATAGAACTGTTGTTAGGGCAAACTTTTCAAGACTAGTGAACCATTTAAAGGATGAACTCACACAGGAAACTGTTCACTTAGATGAATTGAAAGGTAGGTTTCAAACTGTAAGTATGATTTATGAAGAGTTAAAGAATTTAGACACAAAGATATCTGACCATTTATTTCAATTTGAGGAAAGTGAAGCAATTCTTGAAGAAGAAGTGTCTAAAGCTTATAGTTATTTGGAAACCTACAATCAAGTAAATGTTTTGGTGCAAAGTAAGTTGAATGAGTCTAGAGATTATGATTTGGTCAGTAGTAATTCAGCTAAGAGTATAAGTTCAAATTTAAAGACCAAGCTTAGACTTCCCAAGATTGAACTAGTACAATTTAGTGGGAATCTTAAGGAATGGCTTCCTTTTTGGGGAATTTTTAAGAGGATAGATGAGGATCCCTCTATTGATGATGTTGATAAGTTTCACTATTTAGTTCAGGCCACTATTCCAAATTCTAAAGCGAGACAAATTGTAGATAGCTATCCTGCTACATCAGAGAATTATAGAGATGCTATTCAGAGTTTAAAAAGTCGTTTTGGAAGGGATGATCTTTTGATAGAAGTCTATGTTAGAGAACTTTTAAAGCTGCTACTCAATAACTTGAGCCAAAAGGTAGCGATTTCGACTTTATTTGATAAATTAGAATGTCAAATCAGAGCTCTTGACACATTAGGAGTAACTACTGATAAATGTGCGGCTATTCTTTACCCATTAGTTGAGTCGTGTTTGCCAGAGGATCTTTTAAGGGCGTGGCAACGTCATTCCGATTTTGATCCAGAAGCTGATTTGAAGAATAGACTCGATGCACTTTTGAAGTTTCTGCGTATTGAAGTGACAAATGAGGAGCGAATTTCACTTGCTACCTCTGGTTTTGGGGACTCGAAGAGACAATTGGGTAAGTCATCCAAACCATTCTTTAGTGACGAAACGGAATCAATACTAACTGCAACCGGACTTGTTAATCAAAAGGTTGGTAAAACCCCTATGAAATGTATTTTTTGTGGTGAAAAACATTTGACAGAAAATTGTAAGAGTTGTAGTAATCTGACACATTTAGAAAAGGTAAACCTATTGTCAAGTAACAGATGTTGTTATCGTTGCACAAAGTATGGCCATGTTAGTAAGAAGTGTCATGTTCGACTAAACTGTTCTCTTTGCAATGGTCGACATGCAACAGTAATGTGTAACAAGTCTCAAGATAAATCTAATGTAAATTATGTTAATGATAGCACTTTAGTACCTTGTGAAAGTAATTTAGCTAATAATGCACAATCTGAAGTATTTTTACAAACTGTACGTGTGAATATTAGAGGAGGTAATAAAGAACGAGCAGCACGTGTCATTTTTGACTCTGGTTCTCAAAGGTCCTACATTTTGAAGAAAACTGCAGAAGAAATGGGGTATGTATCATTTGGAAAGGAAACCCTTAATCATGCATTGTTTGGTGGATCAGTAACAAATGCTGTAAAACACAATCGTTATAAAGTAAGGTTAAGTGATTTGTGTAATACTTACTATTGCAACTTTGAAGTTTTGGATCAAAATGTGATATGTAATGATGTTTCAACAATCAAAGCGGGTCCTTGGATTAATGAACTGCAGTCTTTTGGTATTAATGTTTCTGACACTGTAGAAGGGCCAATTGAAGTTTTGATTGGATCTGATATTGGTGGAAAGTTGTTTACAGGGAAACGTCATGTTTTGACAAATGATTTAGTTGCAATGGAAACCTTACTTGGTTGGGTGTTAATGGGGAAAGTAAAAGTAAAAGGAGTGACATGTAGATCAAGTGTAATGACTATAACATCTTTGTTAACACCTATTTCTGACAAGTGTAGTGTAGACATTCCTAATATAGAGGATACTGTAACTGTCAAGATGGAATCTGAAAATAATAAGATTTGTGAATGTGATGAAGACGCTTTTGGATATGAATTGAAAAAGTCTGTAAAAAAAACGAAAAAGAGGTAGAAGAAGTGCAAGATAAAGAAAGTTCAAATGGAAAAGTTGTAAATAAAGTTAAATTAAGAAAACGAGGAAAACAAATTAAGTTACCAAAAAGACTGAACTTTTAATATGATAATATGTGTTTTGAGTCTTTAAATAATGAAAACTTTAAGACTCAAAAGGTGGGAGTATGTTGAAAATGACTGTCTCTAGATGATTATTTATATGTTAATTTAATTCATCAGATGTTTTATTTGTTTACACTTTGCAATTAGTGTTTTCCTTTTGATTGATTGTTAGAAATGGTCTTGAATAGTTATGTCTGATTAAAATTGAAGTTCTTTTTGTACTATGTTTTCTTGAGATTATTTAAAAGGTATACCCCTTTTAGAAGAATCAGTATCGCGTTTTAACAGTTTGCATATCTAAAGTTGGACTTTTTCCAAGATGAGTAGAAAAAACGAATATACAAATAACCGTCAAAAACACAATATCTGACAGGTTTTAAACCAAACAACTCACAAATAAATGTTACACAGATATCTATTATTTTTATTCTATATTTGATACCCAACATTAATTGTACAGCAGCTTTATAGATCTTGGTACTTTCCTGTTAAAGGGAACATTCATTATTATCGATGATTTTTTTCTCGATACAGTAGAACCCCTCATATCCGGCCTTGGTTTTACCGGTCCTCTGTTTATCCGGCCCCTTCCAGGAAGCCAATATCAAAATTTTTTTCTCACAGCTTACAGACGTTTAGATGCAAGCACTAGTCTTTGTGACTGATGAAGTCATAAAATAAATTGTTCTCATTATTTATCTGTTTGTTTATACATTTTTTTGCTGAGTCACTATACTTAGTTGAGCTAGGAGGCCTAACCTCTTATCAGTTGGTTGATTATTTCCAAAGTGGGGTTAGTACAGTACAGTACGAGTACATTAATTTTTGTATTTCATAAAATGGTTAAGAATGTTGAGTAGAAATGCATGTACCATTTAAGTCCTAATGATCTTTAAGTACAATTAATTGTCATTTTTACCTCCATTTAATAGGTTTTGTTACCTGGAATCGTAATATTTGTACATTCATTACTTAATGACTTTAACCTACAAATATTTTTTTTTCTTTTTACAAACATGTTTATTTTTCTAAAAATTATCCCAGAACAGAATTAAATGATACTTTTGAATGCATAGGTATATTGATTACCTATTATTATTAGGTATGAATTGTCATTTTCATTGTAGGTTGGTTTATCCGGCCAAATAGTTATCCGGTCAGGGACTTGGTCCCGTGGTGGCCGGATATGAGGGGTTCTACTGTATATCGAAATTAACAAATTGAAATATATCAGCTGACAACTACGATATTGTTCAGTATCAACAAACAATAATGAAATTAAACTGACAAAAAAAACCTAACATAACTAACCAAACTTGCTGTGTTACATTCCATATTTAACTTGCCTTTTCTGTTATCAAAAGGAGTTTTTAAATAGTACAGCAAGTTTGGTTGGTTATGTTAGGTTAGCTTAGAACAGTTTAATTTCTTAATCCATATAATAGACTATTTTAGCCCAAACAATATCAGTTGTCAATATGTAATGGATCGGTAAACAGAAATATCGATACATCGAGAAAAAAATCATCGATAATAATGAATGTTCCCTTTAACAGGAAAGTACGGGAGTGAAAATTTAAAAACGTACGTTTTCATGTCCCTGGCCTTTTACTTCGTAGATACTTGATTTGTAGTTTATTAT